GATGCCGCGGCTCGGTGGCGAGGTTGGTCTCACCCGCTGTCGCTCTGCGGGACCACGGTGATGCTCTGCAGCTCAAGCGCTGCGTCAGATTTTAATTGCAACCAAGTATTTAATTGCAGCAGTGAATTAACTTATGTTACAGGGAGCAACATCCAATAGGAGCACAGAAGGCTCTTAATTAACTCTGGGAGGCTCTGGGGTAGTAAATCAGATGCCCTCATTTCGCAGCATGCTGGAGGCAGAGGCAGGGAACCCAGAGATCCCTCCTTGCAGCTCCTGGGCAGTGGGATGCCCGGCACGGCAGCTCAGGACCTTGCTGCATTGCACAGGGCCCTTTAGTTTCCTTCCCATGGATACAGCCCTTCAGCGACCGGCTGTGATGCTCCCCACCTTGGGGGCTTGGGAGGGTGGTCCAGGATGGGGACAACTCTGTGGCATCAGGGTGAGAGAGCCAGAGGAGCAGAAGAGGTGCAAGGGGTGAGGTGGAGAGAAACAAAAATTCAGTTTGTTGCTGAATTGCTGGTAATTTCCAGGTCATAAAAACACGCCGGCACCCAGAGCCCCCAGCCCCTCCCTGTGCTGGGGTGTCTCAGCCGCCGGCACTGCCTGGCACTGGGTGAGCCCCATGGGACAGCTCACGCTCATCATGCGAAGCGGTGACATCCTGGCTGCCACCGTGGTCCCCTCCTGCAGCTGGGGCTGACCCCATTGGGGTGTGCCACCCCCCCCACTCTGCGTGGCACCACTGGCGATGGCTCCTGCAGCCTGGCTGTGAGCGCACCTAGCACTGAGTGCCACTGAAAAAATCCACAGGGGAAAAAAAAAAAAAAGAAAAAAAAAATACTGAATTATTTTCATTTTTTTTTAGCCAAGTACTTTTAAAAATCTGGTTTCCTCCTCTCCATGCATCCTCCTGGGATGGCAGATCTGTGGAAGGCAGATCCAGGGCGTGGTGTGGGAGCTTGCCCAGTGACAGGGCTGGGATGGAGGAGGGGGCTGGTGTCCCACCGGTGCCTCGCAGCACCCAACGGGGCTTTTGCCGTGCAGGGCTCGCTGGATTGGCAGCTACCAGCTGGAGAGGATGGGAGTGACCTACCCTGCCCAGGCACACACCAGGTCCCCGTTCGATCCGGACAACAAGCGGGTGAAGGGCTTTTACTGAGAGTGCGGCTGCACGGGGGCCGCCCAGCGGGTGCTGCGGTGCCGGGATGGGAGAGGGAAGGTGCCACCAGGAGCTGCCGGCTGAATTCCTGGCTCCTTGGTGCCCCAGCTGGCTCCAGGGTCTGCTGGGAGAGCTGGGAAAACGTCTGCAGCGAACTCAAACAAATTTAGGTCAAATTAGAGGGGAAGAGGAGGAAGAGATTTCAAAAGGTCCAGAGATTTTGTTCCTATGTTTTCTAAATGAAGCAGTACCACTACAGCAATAATTCTTTTCCACGGGTTAATTGGCCTGAAAACAGCGTTTTGCTTGACTGCAAATGAAATGGTTTCAATTTTTCACTTTGCTGGAAACCCTTTCCCCCAAAATGTAGTTTCACGTTGCCTGGAAATGAATTTTTTTAAACTAACTCTTGCTGTTAGTACAGCTGTAGCCTCCAAACCTGCCGTCTCTCCAGTCCCTTGCTGCGCCTGTCCCTGCTCTGATGGATGTCACCTTGTGCTGGCTGTGCCCTGGGGACCTGGTGCTGGGGTGGGAGCGCTCGTAGGGGGGCTGTGGAGGGAAGGGGTGGGGGGCTCACGCCAGGGATGCTCTGCCTGCCGCAGGGCTCTCCTGCACGGTGAAACCGCTGGCTTTACCCAGGGGTGTTCTTCCCATCTCTGCAAGCACAGCTCCATCCCTCCATCCCATCTCACTCCGGTCACAGCCTGGGCTTCAGGTCCCGCTTGGGCAAAATGCTTCCTTGTGGCTCCAAAGCTCAAGGGGAGTTCAAGCCCCAACTCCTGCTGCCTTTGGTGGCCATTGGCACTGGAGGCTCTTTAAAACAATCACCCCTGGGAAGAAAAAAGAGTTTGATGAATGTGTTCTTGTCGGTGGCTGCTTTGCTGGTCCAGTTTGTGTTTGTGTGTCCTCTGGGCTGCTCCCGGTACAGGCAGGGCTGGCTCAGTGCCATGGTGTAAGCTCACTGCCTGGGGCACTGACACCAGGGCTGCCCTTGGCCCCCGTCGCTCTGCTGGCACCTTCCCGGAGGAGGTGGCTCCTTTCAGCTCCCGATGGAGGGGGGGATGCAGGAGAAGGCTGAGCTGCACGCCCACAGCCCCCAGCAGTGCAGAGCCAGTCTCAGAGGCGTCAGGGAGGGTTTTTCATCACGTGCATCCAGCTCCTGAATCTTTTCCATGCTACAGAGAAGGGGTGGCTGCTCCCAGCCCATCCCCGTGATCGTCCCTTGCTCTGGTCCCCTTGCTGGGCTCCATCTTCAGCAGCACAGTGAGGGTCTGACCTCTGCTGAAGCTTTCTCCCGCCTGAAGAAACAATCCCAGTGCGTGCTTTTTGCTTTATTTTGTAAACCTCTTTACTAGGTTTGCTTGCTTTATGCCTTCGTTAGAGCTGATTTCAATTCCTCAGCCTTGTGCAACAAGCGCCACGGGCAAGAGTTTGAACTCTCAAATGCTTTGGTTTTACTGGAAACATTAAAAAACAAGATTGGGGTGAATTTTTCTCTGCATAGGAGGTGATTGCACTCCCTGATGCTGCCCAGGAGGAGGGTGGCGGGGGGGTGGCTGCGGTCCTGCCTGTTTGTCCTGGGGAGAAATGAGGGACCAGGCACACTGCCAGGGACCAGCTACATGCCTGCGAAGATAATGTTTTGATACAAAAAGACCTTTCTGATCGACAGTGCTCTGACCTGGGATTTTCCCTCAAACCCAAGATGGCCAGGAGGGCAGGTTTCGATCCCCCTCACCCCAGGGTTAGTGAGGGACAGGCACCCGGCTGGGACGGTTGGGCTCTCCTGCAGCATCACCAGCCTTTCCTCTGCTTCTCCCGAGTATTTTCCCTTTGGAGCTCAACAGCAAAAAGCAATTTTTTCCTTTTGTTTTGGTTTTTTTTTTCTTTTTTTTTTTTTAACATTTAGATATTTGAGTCATTTTTGCTGCCGAAAGGTTTGTCTTCCCTCCTTCCATCCCTCCCGCTTTCTAAACCCCGTCACAGAGGTGTCATTTGTTCCTGGCCATTGGCATCTGCTGGCGTCAAGACGAATAATCCCCAGCGCGGGGGAGTGGGAGGAGAAGCGTGGCGGGAGCCGCAGTCCCTGCAGCGGAGAGGCAAGCGCCGGGTGGGCGTCGCGGCATCCCCCCCCTTCCTCCATCCCTGCCGTGGGTACCAGCGTGGGAGAGCACCCAAAGAGCCGTCCCGAGCTAGACGGGACTGTGGGGCACCGGGAATAGCTTGTATGCTGCTCCCACGCAGGTCTTTGCTCCCTGCCTCAGTTTCCCTGTGGGAACACAGGCTTCTCCCCCCCCTCCCCTGGGTTGCGCTGGGTTCGACACAATAGCAAACCTCCACGTTATTATTCTGGGGGCGGAAAGCAGCATTACTCAGAGCCAGGATTGCTAATAACGCACTAAATATAGCACTTTTCATCTCCAGAGTACTTTCTGAACTCCA